ATGCATTTTTTGTACATGTATCCAGGATTTTTTTCTGTAAAGCTGCCTGTGTTTGAGAAGAGCGCATGAGCGATTTTATTTTATTTTTTGCAAAAAAAAACTTTTTTTATGCATGTCAAAAAAAATTGTCCATGATTGCACACATATCCAGTATTTTATTTTATTTTATTTTTTTGCTAAAAAACTTTTTTATGCATGTCAAAAAATTGTCCATGATATATATAATAATATAATATTATATGTTAAAATATTGAATTTATTAAAATATTCTAAATCTTTTTTCTTGCTGGTTTATGAAAAAAGATCACTTTTAATCACCATAACTTGTGTTTGATGTAAATGTTTGAATATGTCGCTATCTGCATGTGTGTTTCAGACAGACTACTACTTCGAGTACACAGAGTGTGACAGCACAGGCTCCAGATGGAGAGTTGCCATTCCTCACAGACAGGGAAGCTGCTCAGGCCTTCCAGAGCCTGTCAGAGGCACAGACTGCAGTAAGAAAACAACCACATATACACACTCTCAATGAACATGCATTGAATTACTTAAAATATCAAACCAAGTGGCATTTCATTTAAAGAATGCTGGCTCAAACACTTCCTTGGTTGTATATTTTGATATCAAAAGCAATGACATTTATTCAATTTAAATGTGTCCGAAAACATCTGAAGGTCTTTGTATTGTGTCACTATAACACAGTCTGTGCTTACTTGTTGTACAGCTTTTTCTTGTGAAGCTGGGAAGTTTTTAGAGATGTCATCCCAGCAGTGCACATCATGTGCGGCTGGCTCTTATTCGCTGGGTAGCGGCGTGCGTTTTGACCAGTGGGACTCCATTCCTGCGGGATTCAGCAATTTGGCCACATACATGGACTCAGGAGGTTCAGGAGACGACTCAATGACCTGCAACAAGTCAGTGCCAAGTTACATACTGATATATATATATATATCCATATATTCTATTCTCTAAGCTTTTACAGATCTGGATCTACCTGTTAACATTGTGTTGTTTAATTGCAGTTCTTCATGGACACCTCAGGGAAGTCACTTGGAATCCAATCGTGACGACTGCACAGTGTCACTGGTGTATGCAGTGCATCTCATGAAGCAGGGCTCCGTCTCCTTTGACTATCAATATGTCGACAGCAACGTCTTCTTCGAGTTCTTTGTGTGTTTTACTCTATACATCTTTCATTAGTTTTTTCTACAAATGTGTTGAAGTGAAAATATATCTCTAAAAATAATGTTTTATTTCTGATGCAGATTCAGAA